GCTTAAACCGGCTAGGCCGGTTGGGCAGCAAGCAACCAGGCTAAACGGCTTGGCCGGCTGGCCGATCGGCCAAGCTGATCCAGGCATGCAGTAGGCAGGAGGCAAAGGAGATGCGCATGCAGCAGCAAAGCAGCAGCCTGCGGCCAGCAAAGCAGCAACTTTCAAGCATGCAGCAGGGAGTGCACAACAGCTATCAAATGGCTTGACCGATCAACAGCTTGTTTGTCCAGGCAGTAGGAAGCACTCCATGCTAGCAGCAGCACAGGGAACAAGCAAAGCAACGCAGGGAGCAGCCAGCAGGGGCACGGCGGCGGCCACCAGCCAGCCTGCCGGTCCTGCACGGCGCTGCAGCAGCAGCCAAACCGGCCAGGCTGGTTGGACAGGAAGTGGTGCCAAATTTCTCTTTTCTTTTCTTGGGCCTCCAAATAATATTCCAAATATATTTTTGTTTCTATAGAATGATCAGAAACATTGCCCAAAAATAATCTTGTATCTTCGGTCATTTTTGGTCAGCAACAACACGATACCCTCGATTGATCCTCTAGAGGGCTAGCTAGAGTCAACACGTTTTTTTTTACTGCTAGAGTCAACACAGTTTTTTACCCTTTTATAGACCTATAGAACAACGTGACCAAATAGTATAGTAGACACAAGAATATATCATGTGTATGTTGCATTGAACCATATAGGTTGATTATATAGGATACATAGAAGCAACACACGTGTTGGTAAGCAATGTAGCACTATTTCTATCCAACAGAATCACACACATGGAACCAAACGGCGGCGCACCAGGCGACAGCCCAATGGGCCTGCCGCACCAGCTCCGATCCTGGCCAAGCAACCCCGGCCCTTTTCCTTTTTTCCAAACCCACCCTCTTTTCCTTTTTTCCAGGCTCTTGGCTGGTCGTGACTCAATCAGGGTCGGAACAAGGGAGATTCAACTCAGGTTTAATTTGTGCAGTGGGCAGTGGCAATACAAGGGCAGACCAGTCGCCTAATGCTACGGCAGATTATTGCATACTGTAATTGCTCTCTTCCATAGATTATCTTAAAAAATTGCTTCCTTCCAGCACACTGTACGAATTGAAGGCTCCTCAGCTAAACACAACACTGGAGGTGGAAGGCCAGAAATTTCCTGCTGTTTTTAAGATAAGACTGCATCCAGTGGAGAACGCGAGCCAACCTGCCCAGGTTCAGGTTCAGGTTTAGTCCACGAAACCGTAAACCCGTTCCGGTTTATCCCCTGTTCTCTGTTGCGCAGATGTGTGGGTAACTTCATATTATACAGTATATATCATACATACATTCTACAATTTATACGTGAAGAGTTAAGGCATAAAAAAGGACTGCATCTAGGGATATATCCCATACAGCTTCGCTTTTGCTTCAACAATCAATTCAGGCTCCGTTCACGTCACAGTTCACACGGTTTTATTTTTCCCCGATGGTTGTGACCTGTTGATGACATCGAGAGGAGTGCGGTCAATGCACCGTTGCGCTGATGATTTGATTACAAGATGTCATGCTCTTTTGATTGATAAAAAGGCTAGTGTCCGAACACCCACACCTGCCGCCCCTGCCCGCGCCTTCGCGTACGCATGCTGCTGCTCCCCGCTCGCACGCCTATGCCTGCTTCACGTGGAGGCCCACGCCCTCCATTTCCTGCGCCTGTGCGGACCCATGTAGGGCCGCGTCTCGATCTATGCCTGGTCCGTTTTCGGCGCCTGCCGCTCGCGCCCCTCTGCTCTCACGCGCAGCTGCGGCAGCTGGGTCCTACTACAACATGTGCAACGCCAGATTTAACTTTTGCAACATGTAGATGAAACACTCTGCACCATACGTCCAGAACAGTTGAAACACATGCAACATACGTCTGAAACACTAGGAAAACACGTGTGTAGCTATTACAAAACATATGCAATATTCAGATGAAACACTTGCATGTTAAACACCTGAAACACATGAAATATACGCTTGCAACATGCATGTATATGCAACATCCAGATCTATTTTTGCAACATCAAGATGAAACACTTGCAATGTACGTCTGAAACATATGAAATATTTGGGACATACTCTTGAATACACCATTGCAACATGTGCAACATCCTGATCTACTTTTGCAACATTGATATAAAACACTTGCAACATACTTATGAAAAATATTTGAAACACTTGAAATATGTGCTTGCAGCATGCGGTTTCAGCGCAACATCTTCTTGCTACTTGGGAGAATGGAGCCTCGTCAGCCTATGGAGTTCCATCCCCGTCGTCGCGAGTTGCGCGCGGGCAAGTTCTGCCCAGCGGGCGGCGGGCTCCGCCCGGGCTACCGTGAGCTGCACGACTGTGAGCTCCACACCCGGTCGTGGCGAGTTGGGCAGGCGAACGTAGAGGTCTTCCTGGCCACCGACCAGGCGTCCGCCCCCCGTGGTGGAGGTGGCAGTGGCGGTCGGGCGGCTGCGGTCCCCGTCTCCATTGGGGAGCGGTTATCGGGAAGCAAAGCCAGTCAGTCGGTGGGTTTGCTGCCACGGCGAGAAGCCCCAGCGGCGGAGATGGGAGCGAAGGGCGGGCGGTACGGTGGAGCTGATGCAAGATGGGGATCTGTTTTTTTAGAAACCGTATATTCCATGGTGAGGGAGAGCGAGCCTGTGGACCGGTCCGCAGGCCCAGCTAGTAGCGTCCGACAGACGGATGTGGGTAGGACGCTCACAACAGAGCACTGGCGTAAAAAAATTGTCATGCTTTGTCAACGGTTCAACAAGTTGTCACAGACCTGACAATGGACCAGGATTATGCAAAGTCCAAGTGGACTGAACCTACTGTGGATTTAACTGGATGGATGCTATATGGACCCCGGATATTACTATGTAATTCTAAAAAAAGCACCGGGTTGGTTATATCATATATTGGCTTTGTAAAGAGACAAATTTGCTTCCCATCAATCAATCATTAAAAATAATTTGCTTTCCATCGGATCAACTCCGTGCACAGAAGAAAACATGTTTTTAAAAAGTTTTTAATCTGTAAAAGATAAAAGAATGGTAATGACTTGAACCCGGCCGTCTGTATTTTAGCACCTCCCCAGTCTCCATCTCTCTCTCTCTCTCTCTCTCTCTCTCTCTCTCTCTCTCTCTCTCTCTCTCTCTCTATATATATATATATATATATATATATATATATATATATATATATATATATATATATATATATATATCCCCGACCTCCTCCCTACCGGCCGTGCCCGCGCCCCACCGCACCAAGGATCCAGCCTCCCTCTGGAGACCTCCTCCCCGGCGGCCATGCCCGCGCCCCACCGCGCCATGGATCCGGTGGCAGCAATGGCAGATCCGACGAGGTAGGCTGCCTCCTCCTCCTCCTCCTCCTCCTCCTCCTCCTCTACCTCATCTCCTCCGTGCCCGCGCCACCCCCTTCTTCCCAAACTCCAGCGGCCTTAGAAGGGAAGGGCTTTGGAGGAGGAAGGCCGGCCAGACGGTGGGGAGGCCGGCAGGTGGTTTAGGGACTCTGACGGCGGTGGAGGCGGCCGGGCCATGTCAGGGCGGGGGCGCCATGGCCATGGCGGCGGCGATGGGGCGGTGGGGGGGGGAGAGAAGGTGGCGCCGCGGGCAAGGTAGGGTTTTGCCCCATGGCTTTGGAGCTCTGAAACCCTAGCTCGTCCTCGGCGGGGTGGTGGGCGGTAGGGCGGTGAGACCGCGGCGGCTAGGCAGTGGGACTTTGTAGAGGAAGAAGATGAACAGGACCGTGGGAGAAAGATGAGAGAAGAGAGAGCACGTGCTTAGCTGCTGACCATGCAACTGGCCTAAATTACGGCCGGCAGTACTAAAAGAATATAGCGTGCACATGGCGCGGGAAACGCCCAAGTCCTGAGACATGAACATGTGAGCGACCGAGGCGGCCTCCTAGATAAAATGGAATCTAGAATAGGACACCGGCCTATTTTTTTGAGAAGAGGTAGGTAGTAACTTAGTGCGTCACTTTTTCCAAAAATGTATTCGTTACTTTTCTGATATTTTGGAACACTGATGAATAAAAATATGAAAGATACATATACAAGGAAACGGCTAATGCACGGCCGTGCGTGCATTAAGCAGGCCCCACGCACACTCCATATTAGGAAATCCAATAGTATAGTATACACTTTTCCGTTTCCGTCCTGGTCGTGGGGAAGCAGTGGCCGTGCACGCGCGCGCGCCAAGCGTGCTTCCGGGACAAGGCCCACCAGAGGCCAGGCCCATGCCCCGCCTGGAAGCTTCTTGCCCTCGCCCTGTTTTGCTTTTCCCTTTCAACACGCAAAACAGAGGCGTCCAGGACGCCGCCGCCACCATCGGGCGGCCAGCAGATTCATCCAAATAAGGCAGGCCAATACATCCAAACAGCAGGTACGTACAAATATGCAAGAACTTGATACTATCAACTGCAGATAATCAGCTTCTTCTCAGACACTAGAATTACACAATAGAACCAACCAGATCTGTTACTAGAAGCAATTCAGTTCTGATATCAGATAGTACTGTTGTTCCTACTGCGTAAGCAGATCTGATCCTAACTGATAAGCAATTCACTACTTTTGCATAAGCAATTCAGTTGTTTTGCATAAACAATCCAGTTCTTTTGCATCATAAGTAGTAATGCAGTTCCTACTGCATTAGCAGATCTGATCCTAACTTGGACATGTAAATAACTAATGTTCTTACTGCACATCTTACTACCAGATGGTGTTCTTACAAGTTAACATGGATATATGATGTATGCACCACTCCTATAGATGTACATCTTGATGCATTAAACCTTCTTGTGTTAGCTGCTGCACATGGTTACTCCTATGCATTAAACTTTCTTGTGTTAGCTGCTGCACATGGTTACTCCTATGCATTAAACTTTCTTGTGTTAGCTGCTGCACATGGTTGCTGCACATGTTCATTTTGATGCTTGATGGCCTCACACCTGCAATTAAATAGAAGTACATGATAAGCACATAGATGGCAGTGAGAACAAAGGAAAAAATGTTTAAATCAACTGAGTTGAGGACAAACCAGCCTCAAATTTCAACTTTCTGCAAAAAGAGGGAAACACAAGAACAGTAGATTCATTAAGTTGAAAACTGACTATGGAATAAAATGCATTTTGTACCATGGACAGTCTTAAGTTTCTAAACTCTCATGTGTCCATTTTATAGGTCGTAACATTTAGGTACAGTGTTAGTCAGTCTTCAGTCCCACTGTAACTGTGGAAAACTGATAGCCACAGCATGAAATTTCATGTAACTGATAGCATGTACTGAACAAAACTGCATAAGTTGCTGGCCTTTTTTTGCCTAATTTTGTACAGTATTATTGCCTAATGGGTTTAACTAAGTTGCCTAATTTCATGTAACATATTGTTTTGCATGCAGTTCTCAAATATGGATCTTAACAAGCTGCCACCAGATTTGGATGAAGATTTCTTGGATGCATTTGGTTTGGATTATGTGACCGGCAACCCTACCTTCTACACTCAAGTGCCTGCAATTCCTGAAGTTTCTCAGCCTAATGATGAGCATGTGAACCAGCAGATTTTGCCTAGTTTTTCTGAAGTTGGTCATGCTGGTTTAGCAGAGGCGGTTCTTGCAGTTTCAGAAGAGGTTATTCCTACCGTTTCTAAGATCAGATTGTCATTTGAACAGGCAAGGATTGAGGACAGGAATGAAGGTTCTACTGCTAATCCTGTAGTTGCTGATAATGAATTGAATGGTGCTAGAAATGAAGTAGCAGAAGAGGAGGAAGAGGTGTGGTCTACTCCTCAAATGCCACACAATGGGCTGTCTTTTGCATCCTTGGACGAAGCAAAAGAGTACTACAACTCTTATGCAAAGAGAACTGGCTTCTCGATTAGAACAAACACGTCATGCCGGTCCGCAATCACAAGAGAAATGCAAAAGATCCAGTTCGTGTGCAATAAGGAAGGCTTTGGCAAGAAAAGGAGAGTTGCTGCTCAGCTTGTTGATGCTATCACTTGCTACTCTGACAATGATGAAGTCGAAGAGGAGGATAGCGCACAAGAGGAAGAGGATGATCAAGGGGAGAAGAGGAAGATGCTTGACGGATGTAAGAAAAGGAAGAGGGAGAAAATGCTATATACAAACTCCAAGGCGAGGATGGTGGTCAAAATGATTGGCTCTAGGTGGCAAGTCATCTATTTTCTGGCCGAGCACAACCATGAGCGAGTTCTATGGCTCTGCACAACTGGTGCCATACGAGGGCAAACAAGTTTCGAACTTTCGCTCCACCATCCACATTGGATTACTTCAGAGCTTTGAAAGAAGAAGACCCTGATTTCTTCTACAAGATCAAGCTCGATGACAACCACAGGGTTGAGAACCTGTTTTGGGTTGATTCAGCTGCAAGACGAGCTTACAAAGAGGCATATAGCGACTGCATCTCATTTGACGCAACCTATATGACCAAGATATATGAGATGCCTTGTACACCATTCATAGGAATCAACAGACACTGCCAAACTTTTCAGCTAGGATGTGCCTTTATAAGGAATAAGAAGGTAGCTACCTATGAATGGTTGTTTGTAACATTTCTAGAGCCAATGGACGGAAAGGCACCAATCAACATAATCACCGATCAGGACGCTGCGATGAGAGCCGCCATTTGCACCGTTTTTCCAAACACGACCCACAGGAATTGCTGGTGGCATATCATGGACAAGTTTTCGGGCACAATTGGACCGATCCTTGCTAAAAATGAAGAACTAAATGAGGAGTTTATGGATTGCTTGAACCACACCATAAGTCCTGAAGATTTTGAGTCAAAGTGGGCCGCTATGGTCTAGAAACATGATTTGGAGGGCAATGAGCATTTTTAGCACCTGTACCACATAAGGCAGAGCTTCATTCCAGCCTACTACAAGCACAGCTTCTTCCCATTCCTCCAGTCGACTCAAAGGAGCGAGGGGTTCAATGCTTTGCTCAAGAAGTATGTGAACCCAAACTTGTCCGTGCTACAGTTTGTGAGATAGTACCAGAAAATACAAGAGAAGTTTCTGGTAGCACAGGATGGGCAAGACTTCAGGACTGATGAGAATGAGAGAAGACGATGGTCAAGACATCCGCTTGAGAAGCATGCTTCCACTGTATACACAAAGAATATGTTCTACAAGTTCTCCAAAGAGTTTGAGAAAACTGCAGAATATGATGTGAAGCCTGTAGGGCAGTTCCAATATTGGGTGGAGCCCAATAACAGCTTTGTTTGTGGGTATGGAAAAAACGAACTACCTTGTTACAGCAATAGAAGAGGAGGAAAACTACTGGCATGACACATTCCGAAACGACCAGGTTGTGACTGGCATGACCTACCAGACGAGAAGGTAATGTTCTGAAGTCAGTTGTTATTTTCATTCTGTCCATGGAGCACTGACCCATGCTATGCTTTACAGGTGAAGCTGTCAAATGGGCAGATGGCTGACCTGATACCTTGGTGCCTGCCCAACACAGCCAAGAGGCACAATCAGTGGAAAGGGCTGTACGGGAGGCTGGACTGGGAAGGCAACTTCCCCACATCTGTCACAGACCCCCAGCCAATGGGCAAGGTCGGCATGTGCTTCCACCCTGACCAGGACAGGATCATCACGGTCCGGGAATGCGCTCGGTCTCAGGTAAGCTGCTCTACATCCATTTCCTTCCACAAAGAAATGATAACGGCACTCAGGATTACCTGTCTAATATGATCCAATCTTTGCCGTGCAGGGCTTTCCTGACAGCTACGAGTTTGCGGGCAACATCCAGAACAAGCACCGCCAGATTGGCAATGCTGTGCCCCCGCCTCTTGCCTATGCGCTCGGGAGGAAACTGAAGGAGGCCGTTGACAACAAACGTCAGGAAGCTGGCGTGGGTGTGCCTGCACCATGAGAGAAGCTTCTCTTCCATGGCTCATGAAGCCAAACGCTGAGGTCGTCTTTAGAAACAGCGTAGGGCAGAGTAGCCTGTCATGTCATGTCTGAACTGCAATAACTATGCGAGTTAATCATGGTTTATCAGTCTTATGGACCCCCTGAGTGTATATGCTAGAGAAATGTTGATTGCTGATTGGTACCCTGTTTCAGGGTAGTGGTTATATTTAAAACTTTTTGAGAAAATCTAGTGTATTGTGGATGCCTGCGCTCATGCAACTATATACAAGCACCATGGTTTTCATATCTGTGCTATAATGGTGTGGACTTTCAAGTGCAAGCTATTGCATTTGTTTCTCATTCCTCAATGTTAAGGAGTGCAGGTGATCACTGACTCATTGGTTGAGATGGGTGCAAAACAGTATATGCGTTGTGGTTATTTTTGTCCCATTTTTTTTTTGAAACATTGTCCCATTTGTTTTGCAAGACTGCGGCACTTCCAAACAGCTAATTGCCTAATTGCAGTCTTTTGAACTCCTGGGTCTTTTCCTGAAAATGGCACAAACAAAACTCTTATTAGAGAAAAAGACTTCATGATTGTACGAATGACAGAATGAGTGAGACCCTTATTTGGAAGGTGAAAACCTAACCGCATTCATGCCCCTACAAGCTAACGAGGTGAAATGAGCCTTCAAATGAGAAAGAAGAAGAATGGTCTATCTCAAGAGAAAGTGAGGAAAGAAAGAGGGGGCATATATATGAGCGTAAAACAAAAACCCACTGAATAGAAGAAGTGGATAGCAAATGAAATTTAAAAGAGACCCAGATTATATACCTTCAGTGAGTGCCATCATGAACTACTGAAATCTTGAAACCTGAGCGTTTTTTTTCTTTGAAAATCACACTGCATTCTGCCCTTTTGTACAATTTTGGGCCTGTTCGGCTGGTATTAAAGCCGGGTGATAAGCCGGCCTTGGTTGATTTATTGTGAGAGAAAAATACTGTAGATTCTAGCTGATAAGCCGGCTGATTTGTAGGTTCCTTTTGTATTTCTCACCTAACCTAGGTGTTGCACCTATGATCTATGGTACATGTTGTACCTCAAAATGTCACGTAAAATTATATATCTTATACAAGTGTTATTAGTAGCATAACAAATATATAGATCTCCGTCAGGTATTCATATAGAGCAACTTGCTGATTAATGGCGCCAGTTTTCCTTCGGTGGTCTAGAAATTCCTTGACTAATTGACATTCACATATGAGAAGGAATAAATAGACATCAGAGGAAGATTGGCTTATGGAGCCACATATATTTTATGAGCATAAAATTTGTGTCATCGTAGAACACAAAGAGCACATGTGATGGTAGTATTGGACTACGTACAAGAGGCATCACATGTCTCCCAGGTAAGGAACAGTAGTAATGGACCCGCATACATGGTTCCATATGTAGTACTGGATGTTGAAATCACACATACAACTATCGGCATTTATTTATTTGTTCACAAGCATAAGTAGAGCAACAATAACATTGATTACTCTACACCACACACAATTGAAAGGTCAACACGTACGCCACACAGCAATGCAGCACACACCAAACCAAAGTCCACAAACACACCAGACAAGAGCACAACAATTGGCAGTAGCACACATGAGGGCATGTCTCATGCTGCTGTTGCACAAGTTGAAGGGAATTCAGCTGTTGGACTGAATGGTCGCTGGCTCTTATTTTATTTCACTACTACTCCAGACAGAGCACGTAGGCCGGTCTGCCTCCACCACACCATCTTTCCAACAAGAGCACATAGGCACTAGTGATGGATGGATGGTTGGATCCATCGAGGAGGCTGACCAAACAAATCAAAGCAAAGCAAACTGATGCAAACAAGACCGACCACAGGACGCAAGCAAAAGCATATGCATCCTTGTTGTCATTTGCACGCGCGCGCGAACACGAACCGATCAAGTGGATGCAGAGAAGCAGAACTGTGAGCAGGAGATCGAAGGCGAGACACCAGCTAGCAGGCCAGCCAGTTACTGTAATCCAACAAAGAGCCGGCCGGACTACCTCACCTGCAGGAGTTGGAGAGGAGGGCATCAGAGAAAAACAATAATATCCATCAATTCAGGTGAGCAAATCAGCAATGTGAAGTGTCTGGCATGGCAATCGCCCTTGGTGCACATATATAAAAGGAATGCATAATGCATCACTAACCACTAAGCCATTGGTCAGCATCATAAATAATACTATTGTAGTTGTCTTGTACTATGATAAGCATATGTAAAAACTTTGGAGTTAGATGGCTGAGATGGAGGGAAGGGATTTCAATTGGTTGCTAAATAGACTTGGGAGACATAATTCTAATATACTTCAACTGCATGATGGAAAAGAGTGAGGGACTACCTGAGCACACTGCTCCTGAGCATGGTCTTCTTGTAATACCGTGGGTGGATGGGTCTGTAGTTGTCCGCTTGCGAGCGGTCATCCCACTCCAGCCTGTCCCACCATTCCTTCTCGCAGTCGCACTCCACTACCTTGTTGCTGCGGCCAATGTCAGGAAGGCGCCTGAGGCTCCAACAGCCCCTGATCTTGACTGTCTCAAGATTCGGTGCAGACATTCTAACCCCACAAATGTGCTGTAGTGAAGGGAGCTCATGCAGGTGGATACTCTTCAACTTGGGGAAGTCTTTGGAATATGGCTTGGCTCCTTCGAAAGGAAATATCTCCCTGAGATCACCGCACCATGCAATCTCAAGGGTCTCTAGGAGGCGCAAGCTGTCCTCTTCCTCGACCATGGTCAAAGGGAGTACGTGTATAAGCCTGGGGCAGAAGTCCAGGTGCAGCAATGCCAGGTTGGGAAATGCACGCGCTTCATTTGATGTCGAGATATATCTTGACTTTAGGAGTTGGGATGCCCAGAATATTCTCAGCTCATAAGCAAATTCAAGGTCTTCAACATTATCAAAGACAAAGTTCAAATTGGGGCACCTCTCGATTCTGCACCACTCTAGGTCAGGCCATACTGAACCATATTCATCTGAAGTGATGCTAGTGATGGACGGGCTATCGTGCACATGCAGGATCTTAGCAGAGCCAGTTACAAACTCTGGGACAGTAATAGTACTAGTCTCTTCACCGCCTGGAGGTAATTTTGTCTTTATCTGGTCTTGTATGTGCATGTAGCACCTCTTTTCTGGAAGATCAGGAACATCCGGGCAAGGCCACATCCACATGATTCCCAGAGTATCACCACCGCCTTCACTAGCTTGTTGTAGGCGGTCCACGGAGATATCTGTGTATACTGCAGGCACAGGCTGACGCTGCAAGTTTACCACCAATTGCTGCTCACGACTGCCTGCGCTCTTGAATATTCCTTCATCTTTGCTACCACCACCAACAACGGTAGGATGAGGAGAGGAAATCTCCACATATGCCTTGCGGGAATCAGAGTAGACAGGCTCCAGGGACCCAAGGAGCCTTGCGTCCCGTACAGAAATGTGCCAATCAAATTCACTGCTCGGCCGACTGCCATGTGGTGCAGCTGCAGGTGCTACTGATGTTCCTGCAGTAGCAGTACTAGTTCCCCTCTTGGGGTTTTCTTCTCTCGATTGGGCAGTGGGTGCTGACTGCGTGGTGTCAATGCACAGCTTACCCAAACCCAAGCCTTCTTGTTTCATTTGCTCTTTCGGTGGCCACAGGATTGCACAAAGCTTCTCGCAGTCAAGTAGATAGAGCTCATCAAGGTGCCGGATGTATATTGTACTGAGATCTAGTGTTTTCACTGCTGTGCCTGAGATGTCTAGGGTGTGGATCCCCATCCCTCCTCCCAAGAGTAGATTGTTCAGTTTAGTACATCCGCGGAAGGAGATTTGTTGTACCACATCACATCCGTCAACAATAATGACGACAGTCTCAAGGCAACTAACATTGCTGCTTACCCCTGGGCCAAATAAGCTCATCATGGGACTGGAACCACCAGTCCTATAGTTTCTTGAAAAGTCAATATGCTCCATCTTGTTCATCTCCGAGAACAGATCATTTTCCGAGCAACTGCTTCTGACATGGTAAGACTTTTTTACTCGGAGCTTGCGGATGTTAGGCAATCGTCCCTGTAGCTGGCCCATGTCCCATCCGTGGGCCACGATCACATTTAGCTCCCTGAGCTGGGTCATGAGAGCCAACATCTGCGCGGACAATATCTGATCACAGTCTGTGTAGCGCACGTCGAGCACCCACAGCCTCTGAAAGCACCGGTGGATGTCCTCCTGCTTCCCTGCTACATCTGTGTTTGTCCTGGTGCCTTGGCAATGGTCAAGCCATAGAAACCTGAGGCTGTGGCAGCAGAGGAATGGAGGTGCCTGAAAATCAAAGGTGCAGCCTGAGAGCTTGAGAACACTAAGCTTGTCAGCATAGTGTTGGAACATGCCTCCATTTGGAATAGCTCGGTCCGAGATCCGAGTAAACCCACAAGTCGGTGAACTCCAGAATGGCTTGCTCTTGACAAACTTTGCTAAGTGAGGGGAAAGCAAATATTGATGGTAGTCCGCATCCAGTGGCATCTCAAACTGCAGAGCATCAGCAGCTCGCCACAACCCATCATCTCTCTGTCCCTGTTGTAGCTGCTGATGTATGACGCCATCACATACCCAGTAGTTGGTGATGTGGGTGTCCAACTCATAGTCAATCCACTGACTGCGTATGCAACACAGCTCCCACATGTACAGGAAGCACTCGACCACTTGTTCGGGCTGATCGATAATGCCGGCAGACCCAGTTTTGACCTTGCGTGCCGCAACTACTTCCGCAGCCTCTTGGAGTACAAGGTAGGGCCAGAGCTCCTCTCGCATTTTACGCAATGGGTATGCCGAGAGAAAAACATCAGTTGTTCCCGCGGTCTTCATGGCCGTCTCAACTTTTGTCCGAGGTTTGAGCCGGAATCTCCCTTGGAATGTCCACAGCACCTTGCTGGTCGAGTACCCGGACAGAGGGAAGCCACACAAACTGGCAAGATC